TCTCTCTCTCTCTCTCTCTTTAATGAGCCACATCACTCTTCATTGCATTGTACCAATGCGTTGCAATTTAATGCTCTGCATGGGTGGGTCTGGATTGACTTGTTGCTCAGTCCAGGTTTAGACTGGGGTCCAGACTTTGAGAATCTCTCCCCTACACAGTAGCTTTCATATGTGTGTCCCCAGGCTCTGTGTTTAACTAAAGATAGGAAACTAAAGGTTAAGTCTGTGTGACCAAACCTGYTTATTGTTTTTCAGAATTTGATCCACCTACCTCTTCTGGAAGGCTAACAACCAAACCATTCTCCACTTGGCCCACCAATGCCTGGAGGAAATACTCGCTGCAGGCAGCCAGTACAGCCCGGTGCCCTCTGAACTCTTTGCCCTCCACCAGGACGGTCACATCGCACAGGATATCCTGCTTCCGCTGGTCATTGAGACAGAGGAGGATGTTGGTACAATGAACCGTCGACTCATACACGTACATGGGGTCTTCAGGCTTCTCATCCACGGACATTCCGCTCACACCCTGGAAATATGAGCAGAGATGGGGTGGGGGGTTAGTCAGTTTACAGCTGAGTAAAGCCAGTGCATACCACAGGACTGACATCAGTGTAGCTGGCCTCATGATTCAACACATGCAGGCGTAAACCTGCTGCTTCATGGGTTCACAACTTACACTGTGAACACAACACACAGATTTTCTGCTACCTGACAGACGCAACGTTTTCTCCAAATAACACAGAATACCTCCGTCTACAGTCAAATATAAAAAGTAGTAGCAAAACAGTAGATAGAAGTAGCAGAATCACAGCTAATTCTAATAGTAGAAAAAGGGGTAACGCTTTCTTTTACGGTATCCTTATTACCATGTAATTACAAGGTAATAAAAATGTAATTAAATGGTAATTACTACTACCTTATTACCATGTAATTATGTAGTAATTAGGGTACAAAAGAAAAACTACTGTTAGTAAAACTACCTTTGTTGGGTAACTACAATCAAATTACTATTCAATAGTAACTCAACACTATATTTATAACCAAAAGAATACAACTAAATTTTGAGGTTAGTGGTTAATTACAATAAAATATAACTTTAAAATGTCCAAATTACCTACTACTTATTTAGGTGTTACATAGTGAATTGTAATACATTACCAGGTAAGTGCTACATTACTGCAGACAATTAATTAAATAGTAAAACTGTATCCTAATTATCATGTAATTACATGGTAATAAGGTAGTAATTGCATTTAATTACATTTTTATTACATTGTAATTACATGGTAATAAGGGTACCATAAAAGAAAASGTTACCRAAAAAGGCTAGTTAAAAGTTTAATAGCAAAAGGACAAAAAAAAGAGTCTGTTCACTAAAGCAGCTTTTAAAAAGAACAATGCTTTGAAGGAACTAAATATTTCAGTTTATTATTATGGTAAAAATACTTGTAAACACTTCGAAAAGTATAAAAGTAAAAAAAAAAAAACAAAAGTTCCTAACAACCTATTTCCTGAATAATTAACAATTTTTGATACATGAATGAATAAAATAGTGCCAATTAAACTGAACAAAAGTGCAAAACGAACAAACGAGTGCTTCGAATAGAAAAAGTTCAAGTGAATTACAAAAAAAAAATTTCATGGTTTTAAATATTTTGACTACTAATGAGTCATAAGGTTTATTTATTGAACTTTTTATTTGGAAGTTCTTTTTGCACATTTTGTTAAATGTAGTTATGGGGAAACCCCAACTTCTTGGTTTAAAAATGACTAAAATTAAATTAAAGGAAGTTCTGACTGACTCATACTTTTCTGGATAAAAATGCTCAGCAGAACCACTTTTTTAAGGTT